GTTCTCCTATAATTTGCTTAATCATTCCGTTGTTGTGGGACATTTATGTGGTTTATTTATTTTTTGTATTATAAATAATACTGTAATGAAACTTCTTTGTGTTTAACTTCTGTCTTCATTTACATTATTTCCTTGCGATATATTCCTAGAAGGTAATTACCCTGTTCAAAGTTATGAACAGTTTTAAGTCTCTTGATAGTGCTGAATTTCTTTCTAGAAAGGTTGCACTGATCACACTCTCCCGAGTAATACAGGAAACTGCCTGCTTATAGCTGTTCTCTTTTTGTTCATACTAGTCAGCAGAAACAAAAGCATTCTACTGACTTGCCTTTGTATCAGTAAAAGTTATTGGAAGCTGGCCATTTTCCCACCGTTATTTAGTAGAGTAAAATGTGTAATTGTGTTGAATGAACCCAAGCTTCATTTTTTTCTTGATAGAAATTCTGTGAGTATTTCATCTGGTGGTTATACGTTGTGCTTGAACACTTTTGTATAGTGGTGACCACGTATGGGTTATGCTTGCTCACCATTGGCTATTTTCCTTAAGCTAATTATGCTGTAGAGAAATAATCAGTCCAGTAGAGTTTGTGTACTACTTAGTGTTTTCTTTACACACAAGAATGACAGGGGTTGAAAGGACTGTTGAAACCATTGTAAAACTCATTCATTCTAACAAGAAACATTTATTCAGTGTTTGATTAGTTGTTGTCACTGTGCCGCTTTATAGTAATAAAGAAAGCTTACAGCATTCTGAATGTGTCCAAAATGAAAAACAAGCAAAATAATCCAAATGTGATCCATGTAACAGATGCTTCAGATACCTTTTGAAATGTTACTTCTTAGAGCAGTCTTGTGGAGAAGTGGACTTGACCACCATGCCCGCTGTTTGGACATTCCAGGCAGCTGTATCCCAACAGTAATGATAGAAATAGTAACAGTAATGATACTAGCTGCCATTTATTGAGTGCCTATTACGTTCCTTCAAGATACTGTTGTGCTTTTTACCTTCCTATTACCAATGCAAGGTATATGTTATTTTCATGTTGAGAAATAGAGGGAACGTAAGATTCAGAGAGAGGGAGCAAGAGAGAGACAGCCAGAGTTCTCCAAGTTCTTCTGAGTATATATCCGTAGGAAATCAAATCTCCATGTCAAAGAGACATCTGTACTCTCTTGTACACTGCGGGATTATTCACGATGGCTAAGATGTGGGATCAACCTAAATGTCCATCAATAGATGAGTGCATAAAGGAAATGTGATGTGTGTATACAATAGAATATTATTCAGCCTTTAGATAGAAGGAAATCCTGTGATTTGCGACAACAAGGATGAACTTGTTAATCATTTATGTTATCAGTAAAGCCTCCAATTAACAACAGGCTATTAGTTAAGTTCTGGGGAAGTCTTGGACCTTTGATTGAGAAGTATACTCTTTTTTTTTTTTTTTTTTTTTTTAAATGAGGCAGGGTCTCACTCTGTCACCCAGGCTGGAGTGCAGTGGTGTGATCATGGCTCATTGCAGCCTTGAACTCCTGGACTCATGCAATCCTCCTGCCTTAGCTCCCCAGTAACTGGGACTATAGGTGTGTGCCACCATACCCAGCTAATATATTAAAGGATGTATGTGTGTGTGTGTGTGTAGGCAGGGTCTTACCATGTTGCCCAGGCTGCTCTTGAACTTCTGGGTCTAAGTGATGCTACCGCCTGGGCTTTCCAAAGTGTTAGGATCATAGGCATGAGCCACTACACCCTACCAAAAAATGCACTTGACTGGGGGTTAGGAGGCACTGATTTCCCTCCCTCAGTCAGTTGAAAATTCACATATACCTTTTGATTTACCCAGAACTTAACTACTAATAGCCCGTTGTTAATTGGTGGCTTTACTGATAAAAAAAATGATTAACACATTTTTTTTTTTTTTTTTTTTGAGACAAAGTCTCACTCTGTTGCCCATGCTGGAGTGCAGTGGTGTGATCTCGGCTCACTGCAACCTCCACTTCCCGGGTTCAAGCGATTCTCCTACCTCGGCCTCCCTAGTAGCTGGGACTACAGGCACTTGCCACCATGCCTGGCTAATTTTTTTGTATTTTTTTTAGTAGAGACGGGGTTTCACTATGTTGGCCAGGCTTGTCTTGAACTCCTGACCTTGTGATCCACCTGCTTCGGCCTCCCAAAGTTCTGGGATTACAGACGTGAGCCACCACACCCAGCCTGATTATATGTTATAGGCATTATATACTGTATTCTTACAATAAACTAGAGAACAGAAAATATTATTAAAATCATGAGGAAAGAAAATATGTTTACTATTTATTAAGTGGAAGTAGATCATCCTAAAGATCTTCATTCTTATCATCTTCATGTTGAGTAGGCTGAGGAGGAAGAGGAGGGGTTGGTCTTGCCTTCTCAGGGGTGGCAGAGGTAGGCGAGGTAGAGGAGGTGGAAGGGGAGGCAGGAGAGGCAGGCACCCTCAGTGTAACTGTTATTGGAAAGAATCTGCATATATGTGGATTCACACAGTTCAATCCATGTTGTCGAGGGTCAGCTATAGAATTGCTCAGAATTCTGAACTTTGTCTCATGGTTAGCTAGGCATATGAATTTATGCTAGTTACGTGATCTTTATGAGCTTGCTGTACCTTGTTGGTAAAATGGTTAAGAACACTGCCTACATCACAGAACTGTTGAAGGGATAAAGTGGAAGAACAGTGTATTTGTAGAAGAATGAATGTCGATGATGTTATCCTCCTGGGTGTCTTATGTATTTCCAGATGATATATTTTTTACAGAGAAATTTGATAGAGGTAGAAGGAAAGGAAGTCACTTCTCAAATAGAAGTGGGAAAGCTCCCCTAGTCATCCATCTCTCTCTGTTAGCGATGATAACCTACTTTTCTGGGTGAGGCGAATGACAGTGGAGAATGTAAGCGGGGCTGAGCAGATAGATAGAAGGCCTGAAAACGAGGACAAGAACATCAGACTTTCATTGGGAAGCTGGGGATGCATCAGGAGAGCAAGGAAGGGACACGAGGCTGGGGTGCATACCTGGGAATGGAACCTAAGTATGGGTTTGGTTTGGATGTGAAACTGGAACGGAAAAGCATTGATAGAAGCCCACAAATAACTGCATCAAAAGCACCTTTCCCAGAACAATTCTGAACTTTGTCTAACTGCATATGCCTTTGGAGGGAAGAAAGGCTTTCTTGTGTTTTGGCAAGGGTGGCTGAGTTAGGTAGCTAATAGCCTAACAGTTTGACTTTGTGGTAAGATGTGTAAGGCTGCATTTGCATATTTAAAATTCATATCCACTGCAGTGACAAGTCACTGAACACTGTGGATGGGAAGACATTTCAGTGGAAGCTCAGCCAAAAGCCCTTTTGAAACAACTCTGACAAAATCACGCCAAAAATGAATAAAACCAGAGTTCCTGGGTGTCTTTGAAAATGTCTCACAGGATGACAATCTCAGACAAAGGTGCTGTGCACACCTTCTAATAAGCCATCACACACAAGCACAGCATTTCAACTTGCAGCTAGATATCCTCAGTTCCAATTTTGAGTCAGGTGGAGTGTGTTGCCCAGGGACAGACTGTGCTTTGATAGTGACTCGGAACAATATAATTCTCTCCTGATGCAGCTTCATATCACGAAGTTGTATATTTTCTCGGTACGATTGCATGGCCCTTGAAGTAACACAGCCACATAGTGATATGCTTTAAAGTAGCCCAATAGATAAGAAGTCCACATTTTAGAAGACTGATTTTTATAATGTAAGTTTATGTACGTAAATTATTTATGAACATTGGGATGTGACATCTCAAGACTCTCACTGGGATCCCTGAGTGGGTTTAAAACTGGCTTCTGTGGGAGTGGGGAGAAAACACTATGTGAGTGACCACAGCCCTTTGTGTTGTCTTATTGAACTCTTGCCCTGATGAAATGTTAGCATTTCATCAGTTATACTTAGGTCCTTCTCACTCATCTGTGACTTGAACTGCCTATACTAGATGACATCAGAGGTGACTTTCAGCTGTAAAGTTTGGTGATTTTATTAAATTCTAGGCATTTTATTTACTTAAAAATCTAGGTCAGGGCTCTGTCTTCTGGCTGCTCTGTCACTCTTTCCCAACAAGTTTAGTCTTGTTTCTGGTTAACTGTGGGTGTATAGTAGAAATTTGCCCTTTTACCAAGAAAAGTTGTAATTGAGAGTATGCCACAAAGATATTACGTTCAAACGACATGACCAGATGTGAGAAGGTTTGCATTTAGAAAAATAGTTTCAACTGTCCATTGGTATAGTCTATGACTTCGTATAACATTTTCTTAGGGTTTCTATTTTATTTTTAAAATATTAAAGTTAATCACAATCTAAAGTGATGTATTTTGTTTAAAATTTTTTTAAAAAATTAGTAATGTCACTTTGTGATCTAGTGAAGTAATCCAGAAGTTATGCTATGTCAAAGATAAGGAGAACTCTATAGTTATAAGAATGAATGGCAGAAATGTGAAGGATGGCTCTTGTAATCTCTTCTCTTCTTACAATCTCCCTCTCTCCTTCAGAGGCCTCTAGCCAATCATTTGCTTCCTGTGTTAGTGGGACCCTTACTAGGATCCAATTAAGTCCTGTATTTTAGGTGATCCCTCTAAAGTTTTTTGGTTTTCCAATGTACAGGTTGTCACATTTAAAGTTTTTTTCCACATCACGAGTTCAGGACATGATAACATAATAAAGGAGATTTTCTACAAAGCCAAGAATCTGAATGACAAAGGAAGGACAACTGGAGATTAGGGATCTAAAAGTGATCTAAATCTTTTGATTTAGTGCATTAAGTAGCACACGTCCATCAGCAGGTATATTTAATTGGCTCTTTCCGCTGTTTGGAGGTCGTAGTTGGGGAGATATGGCAGTAGTTTAAGAGGGAGCTGGTGGGAGACACACAGAACACACTCGCTTTCCATAGAGTGACACCTGACTTGTGTTTGGCCTGTATGCTCTTTCCAGAACCCGTGAGAAGTTTCTACAATGGTGGGCTCAGCTCTCAGGAGAGGTTCTCATGCATATGTCTACCTGATGAGTAAGGCCGGTCACATCTCCAGAGGCCATCAGCATCAGGCCTGGGGCTCGAGGCCTGCTGCAGTAGAGTGTGTTGCCCTGAGAGCCCCAGGCAGTGTGGTGGAGCTGCTTGGCAAATCCTACCCGCAGGACGACCACAGCAACCTCACCCAGAAGGTCCTCGCCAGGGTTGGCAGGAACTTGCACAACCAGCAGCATCACCCTCTGTGGCTGATCAAGGAGCGGGTGAAGGACCACTTCTACAGACAGTATGTGGGCCGCTCCGGGACCCCGTTGTTCTCTGTCCACGACAACCTTTCCCCAGTGGTCACGACCTGGCAGAACTTTGACAGCCTACTCATCCCAGCTGAGCACCCCAGCAGGAAGAAGGGGGACAACTATTACCTGAATCGGACTCACATGTTGAGAGCGCACACATCTGCACACCAGTGGGACTTGCTGCACGCAGGGCTGGATGCCTTCCTGGTGGTGGGTGATGTCTACAGGCGTGACCAGATTGACTCCCAGCACTACCCTGTTTTCCACCAGCTGGAGGCTGTGCGGCTCTTCTCCAAGCATGAGGTGAGTCTTGAGATGTTTCTCATTGTTGAAGGATGTCATTGATGTTTTCTGTTGAGGTCACTAGCAATTAGCTCAATGAGACCAGTATAGTCATCCTTGCTTGCCTTATTTTGCCTTCATAAATCATCCATCCTTAATGACATCTTGTGTATAGGTGTGCTTCAGTATTTTTTGACTGATTTGTTGTGTTAGTGACTACAGAAATTGGTAAGCCTTAGTTTTCAGTTGTCTGTCCTTATCCTTTCTCTCAATACTGACCTGCCTTTCTCTGGGTTACATCTTATGAATGGAGAATAGTCTGTAGCTCAAATTCACCTTTAATCCAGGATGGCTGAAGAGGCAACACGGAAGCCTGTGGTCAGGTCATTCTTAGTTCTGTTAGGAGAAGTAAATTATGTTTTCATACTGTTAGAGAGAAATGAATTTCTTAGGTACCTTAGGGGTCTGGCGATTTATTGGCTTGGGCTGTCAACTGTGTCTTGTCTCCAGGCTCTTTCCTGACCCTCCCTAACTTTGCATGTTGCTGTGGGATGTCTTAATTGCTGCTATTCTTGAAGTGTATGTTTGGATGCATGGAACGTTTTCTCCAGCTCCTTGCATTTGTTAGATGTTATCCTAATATGTCGTGTACATTTTTTTTTTTTTTTTACAAATTATGAAAATCCTAAAAGCTTGATTCCATTTCCCAAAAACTTGCCATACTACTTGTCCCTCACTCACTTTTTAAAAACCATCTCTATTTTATATAAGAAACAAATTCGTTAAACTAAGCACAGGGTGTATTTCATTTTACTTCTTTAGCAGTTTTCCTTCCAGACACGTTCATTGGAACAGGAGGAATTATTATTGCCACAAAAATCTCTCCTGCCAACATAAGCTAAATGAGTTATTAATATGAAAACAAATAATGTACCATCCTTAGGCTAATAAGTAACCATTGTTTTGTTGTATTCAATAATCATACACCAGGAGAAAACTGAACAGGGCTGCCCTCCCCTTCTCTCCTTTTTCTTTCTGTTTACCTCTGGATGTGCTATTATTTTGTGACTCCGATAATACAGTAATAGGTTAGCCTTATACAAAAAGGCCATCCATGCTGGATCTCTGGGTGTCTTAAATGAGCATTCACATTTCTTGGAATAGCTATTTTCAAAGTTAGGAATAATAATGATTAATAAAGATGTACATTTATTAGGGAACTAAAATGAGATGAACAAAGATAGGTCAAAATCTGGGAAATATAACAAGCGATAGAATGCCATTTAAGATTAATGTGCAAGAGGAGCTGTGATGGCAGTAATATGACGTCCGGGTCACAGTAGCAGACAGGTGCTCAGCCCAGCTTACCTCATTAATCGAGTAAGAAAGGACTGTGTGCACTGACTTGTAAGCCTGCATGCCACGAAAGAGGCAATGAAAACCGCCAGGCACTTCTGGCATTTTAATGGGGGGAAAATCAAGGCTGCCACAGAAGATGGGAAGTAGGAAGTGGGTAGGAAATTAGCCTTCACCTTGTTTCCTATTTGTTTTGAGTGCAGTCCAATTTAGCAGTTAGCACAAATTACTAAACTGATAATGCTATTGTATATTCTGCTTATAGTTAGAAATTTATGTGCATGTGTATGTATGTATCTAATCTTCTGATATAAGGTACATCCATGTTCATTGCTTCATTTATTCCTCTTACTAAAAACGTCGTAAGGTAGATAATTTTGACTTTGAGGAATGAGGTCCTGAAAGATTTAGTGACTTATCCAAAGTTGCTGAAGCAGTTGGTAACATGGCTAAACCTGGAACTCAGGTCTTCTGAATTCATTGCCTATTTTTCTGAATTCTGCTTTTTTGTTTTTTTGTTTTTTTTCCCATGAAACTCCTTTGTGTGTGGGACCCGCTTATGACCCAAAGGGGAGTTTTGGTTCCAAGAATGGTATGGAAAGTGTAGTCAGAAGCGGGTGGTGCTTTCTGAATTCCTAACCTCAACTAAATTGTTGGTAAGACTCTGACCTAATCTTAACTCTAAACAAAATGCTTTTTCTTCTTTCCGTTTATTTCACTATGAATACGATTTTTAGAGCTGTAATAATGTTACAGAGACAATTTCATAATTTTGTTATCTTTTAAAGTACTTTTGTTTAATCTTTGTAATTATGACTTTCATCACTATAAGGTGTATTTCAGGAAGAAGAAAAGTAAATACAGAGGTACAGGTTAAAAGAAACAATGATAAATATAGAAATGGATGAATCACAGTAATATACACCTAGCTATTAATTGTGGGAAAAACCTTTTGTATTTTGAAAAATCAAAAATGAAAACTCTAGTTAACAGTAATAATCAGACAGAGGGAGTAATCAATAGGTATTGAAAGTCTGCTAAGGCTCTTGTCATATTTAGGGATAGGATAAAATTACTGAGTGACTTCAGACTGTTGCAGAAAAAATTAGATTGCAACACAATCTATACATTTCAAACGGACTTGAATAGAAAAAGGGGAATGTAGAGCATGATCTCAATTTAACAGACGTTAGGAAAAAGCACTGAAAAAAAGTATGGTAAATAGAAACCCCAAATTAAGGGTGTAGATGTAAGTCCACATACATCAGTATTCATGAGTTTAAATAGGTTAGACTTACTAATTAAAGACACACATTATCAGATTGGATATTTTTCAGTTAGAGAAACCTGAAACAAAGCCACACCAGAGGGTGAAAATAAGGGGCAGGAAGAAGATATATCAAGCAAATAGCTCCCCCAAAAAAGTTGGTACAGCAATATTAATATTTTATCAAATAGAATTTATGAAAAAAGTGCAGTAGCAAAGAGGGATACTACATCAATCAGAAAACTTTATGAATTAATAATTTTTATGTATTTAACATAAAGGTACATAAAGCAAAACTGAAGAATTAAAAGTTAAGCTTGACAAATTTATAACCATGTTAGAAGATTTTAAGTGAACTCAGAAACCAATGGGTTAAGATGATAAAATGAGTAAAGGTGCGGACAATCTGAACAGATGGTTAACAAGCTTGATTTATATTTATTTTTAAAATTTGGAAGCCATATATATATACACACATACACACAATTATATATGTGTGTAAACACACATGCAGACCCATGCACACACATGGAGTTTTATATGCAAATGTCAGAACTATATAGTCAAATGGATTTCTAAAAATTACTTATGCATTACTAATTGACAGTCGAAGGCAAACAAATGTCAAAGAATCAGCAACAAAAATAGAGCTTTGCCTGCCTGGCTTCAACATAGTTTATGTAGAGAGCAATAAGAAAGGATAAGTAATATGTTCCATATTCGCAGAAATTTAAAAATATACAAGTATAGATTCATGGGTTAAAGAGAAATATTAGCAATAAATTGCAAATTACTTATCACTGACCAGCAGTGAAAATATTTTGAACTGCTCAAATGTGGGGAACCATGGTCACTTCATTATGGAGAAACTTGGTACTCCCCACCTAAGCAGTAGGATCACAGTTAACCTTAAAAAAAAAAAACCGATAATGTGTAGCTAAAAGGGTACTTGTGGTACCTTTTGCTTTAGATCCATTTATTTTAAAAATTGAAAATGGAAATCATCAAATTAAGTGTTCAATTTATGATGCTGAAAATGACTTTATTACAAAAAATGTGAAATGGAGGTGGGTGTATAGTTTTTGAGTATCTCCAAGTGTTACCAAATTGATAGAGCAACTAGAATAGCAAAAACAAAAACCACAGACAACATCTACAACACAAGTAGGTGACAAGTTCTCCCTATTACAAATGCATCGGAAGTCACAATGAATAGCCAGGAGTTCTGCACTGTATCAGAAACAGGTAGCACAGGGACACAGTGGTGCCTGAGAAAAGGAGAGCTTCCTTAGTGTTCTCTCGGAGCACAAGCTTCCCACAATCAGATTTCTGGAGAGGCCTGGACTTGAAGTACCAGTATCACTGTTCATTAGTGACTACGAACCTCACAGAGGGGCAACCACACTAACATGTCTCCTGAAGGAAGGATACAATGCCCACTATAGAGTCTTCCCTAAAATGCTGGACTTGAGTCTGATTAATTCTCTAGACCCAGCTACCGTATTTCCAGGACATATTTAGGCTGTGGGAAATTGTGTAGCAGGTCTACTGGAGATGTGATCTGCTGAATGAAATAAATAGAGAACTCAAAAGTAAGTATTTAGAAATGTTTAACCAATGCTAAGTGTTTAGAAATGTTTACGCCATTATATTGAAGCATGTTATTAATGGACTTATTTTGTTGAACAGTGTGTGGATGGGTTCAAGTGTCCTTAAATACTCTTGGTGAGTTGTGTGTGCCTAGTCTAAGTAGCAGCAGTAGGCCCATGTATCAGTTTGTGATCCACTGGAAATCTAAAACTATTCCTTTACTATGGTTTGAGAAGCACTGCTATATGGTATAAATGACCTAATCTCTTCAAATAATTTCAAGAAAAATAAGAACGATGCAAATGATACCCATAGATTAAAATAAAGACAGATCAATTGATCACCATGTGTGGATCCTATCGATTTTTAAAGAAAAAAAGCCATGACATTTGAGACCATTGGAAATTTGGACACTAATTGAATATTTGAAATTGAGTTCTTTTTTAATTTTAATTTTATAGGTGTGATAAATGGTACTGTATTTTTATAAAGTCCTTTTCATGATCTGATGTCTGTGATATTCTTCAAAACAATATGGGGAGGTGGATTAGGCATTTGGAGATGGATGCAAGAGGATTAATAATTGTTAATTATTGTAAATCGGTGTTGGATGCAGAGAAATCATCATCCTTTCTATTTGTGTATATGTTTGAAGGTTTCCTAGTAAAAGGCTAAAGAAAAAGACTGAAGGAAAACATTGGAATCAGTCAGTCAGTCGAAAACATTGGCTGAGCATGTACTGGGATTCAGGACTGTAAGAAGATATCAGACAGTCACGAGACTGTCCTTGCTTTCATGGGGAAGGTAA